ATTCCTGCTTAAAGGTAAAATATTCAGTAAGGTGTCTGCATTCATGATTGCCTCTTAGAAGAAATAATGTGCTTGGGTATAGAATCTTCAGGACCCATAAATATAAGACACACTGCAAAAGAAAATGTTTCCAGTGAATTTATCTTACATTTCTCTTTAACGTAGTTGTTTGATCTTTGCTCCTTTTCCTCCAATTCTATTACCCTTACAATCTCTATTACTCATTATTATCTTTTTCTCTTTATACTAAAATATAAGCTCATGAAATCAGGGACTTTGTCATCTTATCCACGTCTGATTATCTGCTCCTGGAAAAGTACCTAGCAAACAGTAGAAGAGTAATAAATATTTGTTGAATGAATGAGTCAATTTATTTAACTACCTCAGATTTACAGACTGCTGTAAAAACAACTTGTGTATTTGTCTCTCCTCCATAGATATATCAATAAATAATAATAATGTAAGAAGTTACAGCAGCTAACTTTTACTGAGTACTTACAATGTGTCAAGCACTATAAAAATAATCCCCTTCACTTAGTCTTTAAACAACCCTATGAAGTATATAATACTATTTCTATTTTACAAATGAGGAGATTTAAGTGAAGAGTTTAAGTAACTTGTCTGAAATCACAAAAGTTGTAAGCAATGGATAAGATTTTGACTCTCAGATCTTAAGCATTAGGCCATGCTGCCTAATGAAGAAAATAGCCATGTTTTATGTTTATTTCATAATAAAGGAATAGATACTTTAAATAGATTTAACATAAGAAATAGATACATTTTACTTATTTGGTTAAAAATAATGAAGGACTATTTCATACGGAAATAAGCTTGGTTTATATTATCATACACAAAAATAAAAAACAAACTTTATTTTTAACAAGTTAAGGTATATTAAAATATGTAATTATTCATCCTTCATTTTATTCACAAGAAAAAAGTAATTAAACCAGGGAAATACTTATTAAACTCTACCTGTCCTTTTTGCTTATTTTGATTCCTTGTTATTTTCCTTTTATAACAATAAAATGTGTTGTCAGCTAAAAATACTATAAGGACATACACAACAACAACGATCAGTTACCAACTTAAGCTTCCCAAAATTGTTTATTGTTTTCGTCAAAGCCCCCAATCTTTTTGTTAAGAAGGGCTATTTACTAGTTTTCTCGAAGCCTTGAGGGAAGGCTAATGGGGTTGATGACGAAACTACGAATGAAAGTACTCAGAGATAATAAAATTTCTAAGAAAATTTGGATGCACAGAGCCCTAAACTCCCTTCCCCATTAGCTGTCCTAGCATACCGTAGAAGGGAGGTTGACAAAAGCACTGGAGAAGGGGGATACAAACAACAGTAACCAGCACGGAAATTTGCTAGGTAGGGCTTCAATATTTACCAGGAGAGGTGTTTAAGAGCACAGGCTTGGAGTCAGACTGCCTGGCTGCACTGCTTACTAACAATGTGACCTGGGCAGTTTATACTTAACCTCTCCAAGCCTCAGATTTCTCATCTCTAAAATGGATAAAATAACAGTACTTACCTCATAACATTGTTGTGAGGATTAAATTAATCCATGTGAGTTAAGTGCTTAGAACACACTTGGAGCGTATTAAATGCTCAACACAAGTATCTATTGGTAGAGCTTGTACTCAGCAATTTTACCTCTAGGAATCTGTCCTACAGAAATAATTGGGCAAGTATGCAAAGATGTATGAATAACATGGCCTAATGAAACATCATTTGTAATGGCAAAATAATGGGAACACCTTAAGTGTCTAACAATAAGGAATTGATTAACTGTGGTTTGTTTCTTCAATTAAATACAATGCAGCATTTAACACTGATGCTACAAATTTATATTTACTGACCTGAAATACATTACAGTATAAGGATGAAAAAAAAAAAATGAAAAAAAGCAAGTTACAGAGAAATATTATAATATGGTTCCATTTTCACTTAAAAGGAGAGTATACAAATATCAAATATGTTATATACCTGAAATACATATAATCTTGTATACCAATTTTACCACAATTAAAAAAAAATTTAAAAAGAGAAATGTATATATTAGAAAATACAAATTATTCTGTATGTACCTGATTTTATTTATATAATTAGAAAAGTAAAAGGAGCAAAAAAAACCCATCTATAATTAAGTGATAATCAACAGGTCATTTTAATGCCTCTTAAGTTTTTAAAAACAAACAAATATTTTCAGAATTTAAAAAGCTTCTATATGATACCCTAGGGTCTTAACAGCTACAGAAGGAAAGATAGAAGCACTAGGGTTTAAGCAATAAAAGCATTATAATGTGCTTTGTTTAATCAGAGAAAATTAAATTAATCTTTTTTTTCACATGGGTTAATTAATGCTTTTAGGAGTAAAAGAGATAAACAGAACTAGCTCCTTAGGGCTACTAGGTAACAGGGCAATAAAGACCCCTTGATTTGCTTGTAATTCCCACTGGGAAAATGGCAATTATAATTATGTAAACAACTAATAAAGGGAAAATTAACAGAAGAGTTTGAAAGATAGAAGAAGAATAAATAGTAGCTTTACCTAAAAACTTCAGAAAATGCAGAGGTATTAAAAAGAACCCAATACAGGTATTTCAGGAACTTATTTTATTAGGAATTAATGGAAATCATCTATGATAACACTTAAAAGCAAATCAAATGACAGTATATTATTATTACCTCTATACTAAAATAACCTCTGTCCACATAATCACCAAGAAAAAGGTATCGTGTATTAGCAGGTGATCCTCCTACTTCAAAAAGTTTCATCAGATCAAAAAATTGGCCATGGATGTCACCACACACTGAAACAAGAAAATTATTACATATGAAAAAAAACCTCCGAAATAACAAATTTTACTTAAATTCTAATTTCTTTTACATAAGAGATAGTGTAAGTTCTATCAAGAGATGTCTGAGAAGGAACTCATCTATGAAGAGTCATGATTGGGATGATGTGTACCCAAGTGTTCATGTACTCAAGATCTAGAACAAGATATAACAAAAGTAATGAAATTTGTAACCAGTGACAAAATTTTCATCTAAATTTATAAAGCTCCTCTTTAGGAAACAAAGTATGTGTGTTTTAGGATGAGAAAATTATAATGGTAGCAGTAAAATCTCTACTCTAACTCAATACTTTCTGTTAACTTCTAAATGATCATCATCTTTGGTATCTGATATGACACTGAGGTATTTGCCTCTAATGACTGAAAGCAAAGTAAATAAGTATTTCTTGAATCAAACTGAATCATGGCCAACACAACTAATGAAACTTTCACAATAGCTTATTAGACTAACTTCTGGACTCAGATTATTTAGGATCATGTTTGTTCACTGAAAACAGGAAAGAATTAAAAAAAAAATTATCAAAAATAATTTGAAAATTCAAGATAATGCCCATGTAATTAATATTTATTTAGTAAATAATATGATTAAAGAGGAAACAGCTTTATATCCGGGCAACTAAATAATGATACAATAAAAATAACATCCCAAATATAAATATGTGTACCTGTAATTGGAGCCTCTACTTCTATCATGGTTTTCTCTCTCCGAAGGATGGCAGCACCCTCATTGATAATTCTAAGTGCAATTTCTTCATCTACCCGACCTTCTTTTACTAAGTGGTTCTTCAGAACATCAACCCTAGGTATCCCATCCATATCGAATACTTCTTCAGATGTTAAGCGATGTGTTGGGGGGAAAGGGACAGCTGCAATTTTTTCAAATTAAGAAAAAATAAATCACTATTAATATATTAATATAAAGCTAATCAATGGATCTAGGTAAATAAGAGTAAAAGCTGAAAAGCTGGTTTTTGTTTCTTCATTTATTGAATAGAAGTGTTAATTTTCAAAAAGCTCTTAAAAAAAGAGTAATTAAACTATACTTTTTATTAATCTGTATATAACATGTTCTTTGTTGAAAATTATTACAGAAATGAATTGTCTCACAAAATTGAAGTTCTTTCAGGATAACTAAAGCTTTTTTTCTTTAAGCCAAAACATTTTCTGGCAGAACTCTCAAAACATATCATACACTCTTCATCTTAAATGAAGTGCAATAAATATAACAATACCACATAAGCCTGAATAGAAAGAAATCCCAAATACAAGACGATTCATCGTGTTCCTAATAAGAATATAAAAAAACAATGTTTTCTGGCTAACTTGAATAGAAACTTTTAGGAATACAGATAAAACAGCCAAATGCTTAGTTATCAAATTTAAATTTAAATGCATTTATAGATTTCAAATAACAATAAATCATGATAATTTTGAAATACTGCTTTTTCTCCTACTTTCCTGTTTCACAAAACACTTTCATCCAAATTATTTATGCACATTTTTAACATCAGTATAAGCCTTATTATTAAAGTCACTTTTTGAGTCATCTAACACATTTTTCAAAAGCAAATCATCTTCACTTCCATTTAGTTTGAGAAAAAGGACTTTTTGAATATATGTAAAGGGTTATTACTACAAATTTATCCTAAGCCACAGTTTCTATTTGTCTAATTACTGAAATAGCTGGCCTTTTTTACTCCTGTAGTATATACTTAAAGTTTCCACAAGTAATCACCAACTGTACTGTTTTAAACTGATACTTGTTAAATGGAATAGAAAACCGGAAGGTCTATTTTTAATGGTTTCTAACACAATTTGAGGTCATATATCTAGGGAAAATTACTACATATCTATTAAATTTATTTGATTCCTTTTTTACTGAATCCAACAAGTGATCTCTTTATGTATTCAAAATCACTGAAGTCATTTTAGTCTCTCTGTTTTTCAAAATAAAGCAAGAAAGAAATTTATAATAAGTCTCATATTAGACTCAAATGTAAGGCAGCTCCTTCTTTTCTGAAATTGTTTTTAGAAAAACCTCACTTTATAGTCAGGCATACAGTAGATAGTATTTTTGATGTTTTAGGGTCTTCACTGTGATTATCAATTACTATACAGAAGGCTGGAAATGTATAGAAACAATTGCTTCTTCATATTTCAACTTAAACAAAGTAACTAAAAACAGGACTGGATTAGAATTATATCAATTACCTAAGGAAAAATGATAAATAATCATGTTCTCATATGACAAAAAAATTTTTCCAAGAACTCAATCCTTTAAAAGTGCGTACAAGGAAAAAAAAATTAGGAAGAATTCAATCCCTTGTATGTGAGATAAGAACTAAGGCATTGTCAACCATTTCTGAATGTTTGAAATCACCAATCCGTGCTTGCTTCAGCAGCACATATACTCAAATCACCAATCCCTCTTTCTTTCTTTTTTTGATACTTAATAAAACAAAACTTGAACTTGATTTTTTCTCTTCATTAGAATACATTTATTCCCATTTCTCTTTACAACATCTCAAACAAGGCATTAAATACATTTTGTTCCCCAAAATCTAGTATGTCTAGATTCTAATAAAATAAAAACGTCTGTTAAAGTATGTTTTTCTCCAACCAAAGATTAAACAAACCACTAAATATGATATAACCAAATTTGCCCCATCAGTAAATCAATTGTTTTTAAACTACAGAATTTACTAAATAAATCGAGTTAGTTTGGGGACATTAAAAAAACAAGTTCAAATATGTCGTAAATAGAAATTTCTGAGATTGAGATGGGATCATATTTTTCTCAATAGGCCAAGAGAATTTTTATCTCTACTCAGAAAAAGAGACACTGCATTTAAGACACTGCGACATTCCATTTAAGACACTGCATTCAACAACATAATTCCCCTAATAACTGAATTCTGTTCAAAATACAGGACTTCCTAAAAACCCATCCGTGGGACCACGCCCCACTCCTCCCCACTAAGCCAGTCACCAGTGGTACTGCATCTTTTCATGCATGTTGTTGAAGTCACACTGAGGTGCTGTCCTCTCTTTAACTAAGAGTCAAGATGTCTTTATCTGAAAAAAAAAAAAAGCATAAACTGCCTCCACGCCCATCAGTAAGGTAACTACAGACCCATGCTTTTCTACTTCTTTTTCAACTCAAAGTATTCTTTTACATTTTAAGACAAACTGGGATACCTTTTATGAATGGGTACAGGTTGAGGGGTGAAGAAATGTCACCAGAGATAAAAGTAGGTGAAAATCATAGGAGAGCAGTGCTGTTCTAACAACACAAAACTAAAATTGGAGAATAGAGAGTTTCAAAATAATATGTTTTAATATATCAGCAATTAAAAAAAATAAGAGGAAAAAGGCATGTGCTCTTTGGCAACTGGAGAAAGGAGCTGTAGTAGGTGATCTGACCTGGCAAAAGGAAACTGACCAAATAGAATTTGGCCTAACTGGAGGTTAATTATTGACCCTGTTGGTCAATGGAGGATTAATTTTTTTCAGCAAAAATTAATATTCTCAACTACTACTTTGTTTTGTAAATTCTAAGGCATTTTAAAGTATTTCCATCTATTTTCAGGCTTTTAAAAGGTTTTCCTTTTTATTTCTAATTCCTCTTCAGCCAATTATTCCTGCTTTTCTAGGTTTTTTTCCTATATATTTTTTTCTCCTTATTTTCAGACTTTTTTCCTACTCTTCTATATTTGTGATAGGGAAAACTAGAACATAAATATATATAAAATGTGATACAAATAGACAATAAAAGAAATGGCTAAAATGGAAGATTAGCTGGAGAGCTACAAAAATCACCTCCAATCACTTCGAATCACCAAGTTTCCAACATTAGAAAACTTGATTCATTTTGACCAAAGTATTTTGTTGAAAAATTTCCTTTAACCCAAATTTTGCCATGAAGGGCCTTTGTGTAGTCAATAACATCTACAAGATATTTTCATTCAGATTTAATGGATGGTGGCTGAAAAACAAGTCTTAGAAAAAGTTGTAATTTAGGAAGTTGGAAACATAAACCAGGAACACAGACTGATCAGAGATGTGGGAAGAGCATATATCTTACTTTTTCTGTGACTGGGTAAGGAATCCTGAGAAATCATGTTCCCCAATTCTAAATAAAGGCTATAAACTGTGGCCCCATGAGACCTCCAACAGCAACTGGGATTCAGCCTGTGCCAACTGAACAACTTTACTCCAAAGTATTCAGATGCCCATGCTTCTTATCATTGCCATTTATTGCAACAGTTGAAAATAAAATCCCTCTTGTCATCTATACTTCTGAAATTTTCTCTGTATTTCTTTTACTCACACCATGCCATCCTCTGGCTGTTCCCCCAATCCTTTTCACTGAAGCCTCCAGAATTTTCATTATTAAAAAAACCCCTCCCCCTAACCACCACATACACATTAGCTCTTCAGAGAATGCTGTCTTCATCTCTGTAGCTTAATTAAATCTTAGTCCCCCTGAAGGACAATACTTCTCACACATTTCTTTCAAGGAGGACACTGCTCATTTTTCCATACTCTACTACTTCGGCAGTGAAGGCTTCATTCAGTATTCTTTAGTTTTCCTTTACCACTTCCAACATCATCACTCCACTGAGGAAAAAAATGCCCCCTCCTTTGAAGTTCATGCCTTCTAGATCCTTTATCCTTGACCCTGCCATTTGTTAAACTTTAGTCCTCTCTCACATGAAACTCATGATATGTATGGCAGAAAAAGGAATGAAGAGTAAGGGACAGTTACTTGTTTGGGTTGTTTTTTAAGATCAGAGACCTAACTAAGTAGGTTTATCTGCCCAAAGGAAAAACCCAATGGAGAGTCAGAGGCAGAAGAAACAGAATTAGGGGCATGTGGGGAGTGGGAATCAGAGCACAGACAAAATGTTTAGTATCTGATGGGAGGAACACCTCTTCCCTGATATAGGAAGAAATGTAAAGGTGGATAGCCCTTACTTTGAAAAAGTAATCTACAATAAATATCTTCATTTTCTCTTTTTGTCTATTTCCCACAATCTGCATTTATCTGTCTTCTGCTTATTCTTCCACCTCATAAATCTATCCTCTCTTGGGTTCCTGAAATCACTCCCTGGTTTTCTTCTCTGGTCAACTCTGACTGACCTATTTCATGGACTTCTAGTTGCTGTCCTGATCCTTAAATGTCAGTGTGTGTCCTATGATTCTATCCTTGACCCTTCTATCGCACTACTCTAAATTAGTGATCTCATTCATAACCACATCTTCAACTAAAATCTATATTTTGAGGACTCTCAAAAAGATTGCTCAGTCCAGAACCTAACCCTAAACTCCAAATCCTTATTAAACTTATCTCCACTTGGATATCCCATAGGTATCTCAAACTTAATATATCCAAAATTTAATGTATCGCCTTTCCCTCTAAACTGTTACTGACACAGTAACCCATCAAGGAATTATCCTAGAAGTCTCTTCCTTCTTCACCCTACCTGACTAATAGGTCTTAAAGAATTCTCTGATATGTTTTGTCTCTTTGATCTTGAGAGTTTTTCTCCTAGAATTACCACAATCTTTTAAATTCTGCCCATGCTCCACAATACTCAGAATACTTTTTCTAAAATTTAACATTTTCCTGTTTCAAGACTGGCTTCATTATATAAAATCCTAATTCTTTATCTTAATATGGCATATGAAATCCTTTGTGATCTGACCCTTCCCTACATTTCCAACCCTCATCTTTTGCCTCTGCCTCACATTCCAGATACACTCTACACTATGAACGCTTTTTTTTTTTTCCCAAATCTCTGTACCTTGTATGCATTATTGTTTTGGAGTACATTATTCCAGTCTTTTTTTTCTTTAAATGTTT